GACTTTATTCTCGCAATTTTTATTACTTAATTCTCGTAATTTTACGACTTTATTCTCGTAATGTTACGACTATTCTCGTAATTTTACGACTTTATTCTCATAATTTTTACGACTTTGTTCTCGCAATTTTTATTAATTTATTCTCGTAATGTTACGACTTTATTCTTGTAATGTTACGACTTTATTCTCGTAATTTCATGACTTTATTCTCGTAATTTGTACGACTTTGTTCTCATAATTTTTACTTTACTTGAAAAATTTTACGACTTTATTCTCATAATTTTTACGACTTTATTCTTGCATTTTTTATTACTTTATTCTCGTAATTTTACGCCTTTATTCCCGTTATTTTACAACTTTATTCTCATAATGTTGATACTTTATTCTCAAAATAGAAGAAAAAAATCTCTAGCCTGGCCCTAATACTCCGTCGTAGGGGCAGCACCGAGTCCAACTACAAAGAAACGAATTGCCTAGATGAAACTTATTATTTTGATGGTTTTTATTTTATTCAAATTCCAACAGGCCATAACGAAAATGAGAGTAAATGAAACAAATCTAACGAGTCTATTTGTAAAATGTAAAATCTAAATAATTCCCCCAGTAAAGTATAGATTAAGGAAGGTAACGAAGACACCTCTGGATAGATCCTTTCGAACCTCCACCAGGTGCGGCGCATGAGGTGCATCTACCTGTGAATGGCTTCCCACAGCATCAGAGCGTTTTCTCTGTAGAAATAGTTGGGAAGCTGGAAAACTCCTCTGTCGCTGAAGTCGAACTGTGGCTGAAGGGAGCGATAGGTTAACACCTTGTATTCCCTCTGGGCCAGAATCAGGAGACCATCACCTCCTGTAGACACCACCTGAACACAAACAGGACCATTATTCATGTTCAAATGACTTTGATAAAAAGATTGATGATATGTGGAACATGTAGAGAAGTTTACAATCTGAAGCAACTAAGTTGGCTGGAAAGAAGCTCGAGGCGAAGAAAAAGCTGGAGAATGAGAAACCAGGAATTCAGGACTTCATCTACAATGACCTATTCCCAAAACCAACACTACTTTTGGCCGCTCGTGACTGGAACGCTCTGCAAAATATTCATCTTTCAAAACATTTCTATCATCCTCGTTCATAGACACTTGCAGCTGCTTTTCTACAGTCATTTTTGGGTTGTCTGTTGTGTTTTAAACTTTATGCATATATTACTAATGTATTTATTTTAGCCCTACTTCCCTTTTCCTAAATGGTGACTCCACTTGTAAGCCCACCGTTGTAAATAAGAACTTGTTCTGAAAGACATGCCTGTAAAAATAAAGGTATAATAATGAAAAATTGAAACATACTCTTTTGAAAATGCCATTGGGAGAGATGAGCTGAGTTCGCCCCCTGCAGTTGATCTCCAGTGTGTAGCGCAGATGTGGAGCCAGGAGCTGTAATGGAAGGAAAAAAAAGCGTAAAGTTACAAGCAAATATGCTGTTAAAACAAAAATACTGACAAGTCTAACAAATCATGCAGTTTAAGTTATTAAGAAAATATTTTTTAGTTCCTCTACTGTAGCTTGGATATCATTCTAACAGTGAAAAGATTGAACACAACTGGTCTATTTGTGCCACATTTCTCACTTAATGGAAGATAAAACATCTAGTGTGTGAAATGGAGGTATTGGGTCAAAGGAAGGTGGGGTGTCCATGTGGCTGAGGGAAGGACAGAAACATGCTGAGCTTGTTCCTGAATTGAAGCTATTGAAGATTCACTTCATTGATTCTCTCCAGACTTCCATCTGTCTGATCCTCCACCTGCTTGAAGCCTGTGATCTTTTCATTCTCTTATCTTGGCCTTAAGTTGCTTCTGCATATTCCTCAATAACNGACATGCCTGTAAAAATAAAGGTATAATAATGAAAAATTGAAACATACTCTTTTGAAAATGCCATTGGGAGAGATGAGCTGAGTTCGCCCCCTGCAGTTGATCTCCAGTGTGTAGCGCAGATGTGGAGCCAGGAGCTGTAATGGAAGGAAAAAAAAGCGTAAAGTTACAAGCAAATATGCTGTTAAAACAAAAATACTGACAAGTCTAACAAATCATGCAGTTTAAGTTATTAAGAAAATATTTTTTAGTTCCTCTACTGTAGCTTGGATATCATTCTAACAGTGAAAAGATTGAACACAACTGGTCTATTTGTGCCACATTTCTCACTTAATGGAAGATAAAACATCTAGTGTGTGAAATGGAGGTATTGGGTCAAAGGAAGGTGGGGTGTCCATGTGGCTGAGGGAAGGACAGAAACATGCTGAGCTTGTTCCTGAATTGAAGCTATTGAAGATTCACTTCATTGATTCTCTCCAGACTTCCATCTGTCTGATCCTCCACCTGCTTGAAGCCTGTGATCTTTTCATTCTCTTATCTTGGCCTTAAGTTGCTTCTGCATATTCCTCAATAACTCCCTGTCTCTATGAAGGCTCTTTTTATTTTTTTAGTAGTTCCTTCAGAACATTGGTCATCTAGGGCTTATTATTGGAAATCATCTCATTGTTCTGTTGGGCATGGTGTGACAGTAGCAGCCATTCAAAATGGCCCTTCTCAGTCAAAAGCCAGCCGAATGGCAGCCAACTTCCCTCCAACTCCCAGCAAAATCCCCTCCAACTTCCAGCCACTGCAGTGACCGCCATACCGTAATTCCTCTAATATTGGCCTGTATTCCATTACCGGCCGGGTCTCTAATAACGGCCTGTCTGGTTGTCGGCAGAGGTAAATAATGGCCAGACTCGTATATAGACTGGGGCTATAATTACAACCAACAGTGTTTCTGGGCAGTCCTCAACAACTTGTAATAAGTAACATACATGTACCACAGGGGGGCAGTGTTTGCTAACCAATTCAAGCCGTTAGCAAAGAAGTCCCATCCTTACACAGAGATCGTAGTGGCCTTACACAATCGTTCTGATCTGAAAGACACAAGTGATCACCGGTAGGTCTGGTAACCAGGCAGCATTCAAATGACAGAATTTAGTTGGCCTTCGTTGTTCTCAATTTCCCTTGAAATATACAATACCGGTAGCCTACTTCCACTTAGCATGCCTCAAATAAAATTTCGCTGTGATGGCAGAACAGTTTCCATTAATTTTTTTTAAAAGTCAGTTTGGCCAAGATTGCATTCTGCGTCTTTTTTTTTTTTTCGTATTACTGAGCAGAAAAATTGAGCTGCTGGAAGATCAGAGCACAGCTCATCTAAATATTCATGATCAAACCATAAAAAAAAGAAAATCTGTGGTTTCATTCTAGGGCTTTTAACCAGGCTGCATTAGGGCTCATAGAACAGCTAATATGCCATTTTCAGCCCAACCAATGTTACACACCCTATTAGAGACCTGAAGGACCAGATACCCTATAGAATCATTCTATTACCCCTTTAAAAACCTTTAACACGA